TCAGCCTCCCAAGTAGCTGGGATTACAGGCACGCGCCACCATGCCCAGCTAATTTTTTGTATTTTTAGTAGAGACAGGGTTTCACCATGTTGACCTGGATGGTCTCAGTCTCCTGACCTTGTGATCCACCCGCCTCGGCCTCCCAAAGTGCTGGGATTACAGGCGTGAGCCACCGCGCCCGACCCTTCTTCTTTTTTTTTAATCTGTGGATGTCCAATTGTTCTAGCACCAATTGTTGAAAAGGCTATTTTAAAAAATTTTTATTTATTTAGAGTCTCACTTTGTTGCCCAGGCTGGAGCTCACTGCAACCTCCGCCTTCTGAGTTCAAGTGATTCTCCTGCCTCAGCCTCCCAAGTAGCTGGGACTACAGATGCGTGCCACCACACCCAGCAAATTTTCTTTTGTATTTTTAGTAGAGATGTCATTTCATAGTGTTAGCCAGGATGGTCTCTATCTCCTGACCTCGTGATCGGCCCACCTCAGCCTCCCAAAGTGCTGGGATTACATCATGAGTCACCACACCTGGCCAAAAAGTTTTCTTTCAACAAAGCTATCTTGAATTAATTTTGGCATCTCTGCCAAAAATCAGTTGGGCGTATTTGTGCAGGTCTCTTTCTGGGTTCTCTATTCTGTTCTCTTGGTTTGTGTCAGTTCTGTCCCTAATATCCCACAGTCTTGATAACTGTAGCTATAATAAGACTTCTTCTGTATCCTGCCATTCTTATTTGGAATATTTGTGCTTTCTCACTCTTTAAGATTAGCTTGTGGTTATCCTGTTTTTTAAAAAAAGATCCGAAATTTTGATTAACTTTATCTACCTCATTTATTTCTACATCTAACTTTATTTTTCCCTTTTTTGTGCTTTTGCTGTTATTCTTATTCTAGCTTTTTGAGCTTAGAATTTTAAAATTTTAATTTTTCTTTTTATTAAAATAAAAGGGCTGTGAATTTTCAATCTGATCATTGTTTTAAATATGTCTCACAAATTCTGGTATGTAGTATTTTTTGTTTGTTTGTTTTCAAGATGGAGTCTCACTCTGTCACCCAGGCTAGAGTGCAGTGGTGCAATCTCGGCTCACCGCAACCTCTACCTCCCAGGTCCAAGTGATTCTCCCACCTCAGCCTCCCGAGTAGCTGAAACTACAAGCATGTATCACCACACCCGGCTATTTTTTGTAATTTTAGTAGAGACTGGGTTTCACCATGTTGGCCAGGCTGGTCTCAAACTCCGGACCTCAGGTGATCTGCCCGCCTCAGCCTCCCAAAGTGCTGGGATTACAGGTGTGAGCCACCGTGCCTGGCCTGATATGTAGTGTTTTACTGATCACGTGTACATTTTTGGAATTTCCATTGCTTTAGTTTAAAAAGATTTTTAACATTACTTTCCAGCTTTATTAGACTGATCAGAAAACATTTCTTTGTAATATTTCTATTTTATGAAATGCATTGATTATTTATTGCCTAACGTGACCAATTTTTGTGCTATTCTATGTGTACTTAAGGAGAACATGTAGTAGATTTCTTATCTACTGTTAGGGAATTCGAAGAAAAAGTATGACGTGTGACTGTCTTAATCTGCTCCCACATTGCTATGAAGAACTACCTGAGACTAGGTAATTTATAAAAACAGGAAGTTTAATTGACTCACGGTTCCACAGGCTGTGCAGGAAGCATGGCTGGGGAAGCCTCAGGAAACTTAAAATCATGGTGGAAGGCAAAGGGGAAGCAGACACATCCCACATGGCTGGAGCAGGAGGAAAAGGGCAAAGTGGGAGGTGCTACACACTTTCAAACAACTGGATCCCCTGAGCACTCACTATCGCGAGAACAGAAAGGGGGCAATCCACCCTCAGGATTCAGTCACCTGCCCCAGGCTCTTCCTCCAGCACTGGGGATTACAATTTGACATGAGATTTGGGTGGGGACACAAATGCAAACCCTATCAGTGACAAATTGATATGTCAAGGGAATTGATTATATTGTTTAGGGCTTCTGTGTCCTTACTTATTTTTTGTCGACCTGGTTTCTTTTATGCTGACAGCGGTGTAGTAAACACACTATTCTTAATGTTTTCATCTATATTTCCTACAGGGTGTGTGTGTGTGTGTGTGTGTGAGACAGAGTCTCGCTCTGTCACTCAGGCTGGAGTGTAGTGGTATGATCTCGGCTCACTGAAACCTCTGCTTTCCAGGTTCAAGCAATCCTCATGCTTCAGCCTCCCGAGTAGCTAAGACTAATACAAGCAGGCACCCTTACACCTGGCTAATTTTTGTGTTTTTAGTAGAGATGGGGTTTTGTCATGTTGGCCAGGCTGGTCTTGAACTCCTGACCTCAAGCTATCCACCAGTCTTTGCCTCCCAAATTGCTGAGATTACAGGTGTGAGCCACCAAACCGGCCTATATTTCCTACAATTTCCTATCTCTTAAAGGTAGTTGTAGTCTTGTTTGGTGTACTAATATTCATTATGGTTATATTTTTATTGTGGAATGTGATTTTTAGCATTAGAAAGTGTCATAATTAATGTTTTCTCTTAAATTATACTTATTCTACTTTGATATCAAGATTGTAATACTTGTTATTTCCATTTGCCTCATATATCTTTGCCGTCCTTTTTAGTTTTAGGCTTTCTGAATCTCTTTGATATGGCTTGGCTCTCTGTCCCCACCCAAATCTCACCCTGAATTGTAATAATCCCCATATGTCAGGGCAGGACCAGGTGGGGAAAATTAAATCATGGGGACAGTTTCCCCCATACTGTTTTCGTGGTAGTGAGTGAGTTCTCACGAGACCTGATGGTTTTATAAGGGGCTTCTCCCCTTTGCTCAGCACTTCTCTCTCCTGCTGCCATGTGAAGAAGGAGGTGTTTGCACCCTCTTCTGCCACAATTCTGATTCCTGAGGCCTCTCCAGCCATATGGAACTGTGAGTCAGTTGAACCTCTTTCCTTCAATAAATTACCCAGTCTCAGGCAGTTCTTTATAGCAGCGTGAGAATGGACAAATACACTCTTTTAAAAGGTATGTCTCTTATATATAACATATAGCTGGATCTTTCTTTTTAAGCCAAATTGAAAATCTTTTATTTTCATAAGTAAGTTGGGCCCATTCACTTTTATTTATATGTCCAATATGTATAATAGTTTATGTAATTAGTGCTCTGTGTTATGTTCTACTTGCTGTACTTGTTTTTTCTACATGTTGCATTTTATATGCTCATTTAATTTCTTTTCATATGTAAGAAATTCTCATTTTTATTCTAATGGGTACCTTTGTACTCATTACCTTTAAAAATCCCATTAGTCTGTTACTAACTTTTGCCATTTGGTTTTTTCTAATTAGTGGAGTCTCTTGACTCCCACCTGTTGCCTGTACACCCATCATTGAGCTTATTCCGGTTTTATTTTTCCTTTTCTTGTTTCCTATCATTTTGTAGTTGACAAAACATGTATCATCTATGTATGATTCTCCTAACCTTAGTTACACACTTAATTTAGGTCTGTAATTTAATATATTAAATGTTCCTCGTAAGTTCCTTTGCCAAAGAGCTCCCAGTCATCTCCTGGTTGGATAGAGTGAATTCTTTAGAAGATTCCGTCAGAGGCGCCCGTGGGGGCATCACTTTCTCAGTTCTTCCATATTTTAAACTCCTATTCTGTACCTCTGATGTTTGAGGGTCTGCTTCGCTGGATATCAAATCTTTGAGCTGGACGTAAAATCTTTGACTGCTGCTCCGTCCTTGCCCTGCCTTCTGGGTTGTTCTTGAGGAGGCTGACAACTGTCTCTCTTGCCCTTATAATAAGTTATTTGATCTTTTCATGTACAAGTGGTGAGGATTTTTTTTTAAAGGCATTGTTGAGGTTCTTAATTTAGTTTGTAATGTTATGTCACAGTTCCTCCCCCTCCACCTTATGGCTGTATTTTGGGGTAATTTCCACCCGCTGAACTCTTTCCGTTTTTCTTCTTTTATAGCCTCCTGTAGATGAAGACCACTTATATCGCCACATTGAGTGGTTCGTGTGATTTTTAGTTCAAGAGCTCCCTCTTCTGTCAGTGCAGCGTAGTGCAGTTTCCTTACAACTGGCTTTTGGGGGAGGGGCGGGAGGAGTCGAGGGTCCTTGGATGTATCATTATTTTTGTCTTGCAGAATTCTAAATGCCCACATCTGGCTTCTCCCTACCTCCCCAGCACATTTTATAATGCTGTCCCTGCCTACCTTTAAATTCCTTCCTTCGAGTACATGTTCTGGTCTATCTAGCTTCATTTTTAGTATTTTCTCTCCCTTAGGATGTCCTTTCTCTTTCTTCAGGTAATTGTAATTTATTCCCAGACTCTCCATGCTCGACTTCTGTCTTCACTGGCTTTTGGACCGCTCTTGTCCCCTTGCTCATTATAAAAGTTCTGGGTGGGAATTGAAGACACTGGTGTTTACTTTTCTCCTTGTGGGTGATTTGAAGTTGATAGCAGCTCTTTTTTCCAGTCATGTGAGAGCTGTAGGCTTTGTGTGGTTGCTTTTGTTCTTCTTGTTGATCTGTGTTGTTTCTGCAGGATGCATTGGGAGATTTGAGTTTTTGTGACTATCTATCATTACCGTGGTGACCTGGAAGTCCCTTCGGTGGTATTTTAGGAGATGTGGTGCAGTGAGATCAATTTTGAGGACAACAGTAATTCAAGTCTGTTACTAACACCATCTTTTCATGTTATCTGTACACAACAGAATCTTGAGGATGTCTTTAAAAGGTCTGCTGTCTTAGGAAGGTTAAGTATCTCTACCCTGTAAGCCTGTTTACACCATGTGTCTGTTTAGCCAGCCCTTTCTCATAGACACTTCAGCCAAATATTGGCACGTTTTCAGTTTCTGTGTTTATGGGGTTGGACTCAATGAGGCTTTTACTATTGTGGCATATTGCAGGAAGTGTTGCCATTCTGCTGCCAGGGGTGAGTGTGATCTGGCGGCTGATACCTGTTTATGCATGTAGGTCTCTATCAAGGAGCGACCCGCCATGCTTCCCTGGCAGGGGAGATAGACCAGGGTCCTGAAGGTGGTCTTCGAGGGTGAGGCTTATCCATTGCATGCCACATGTGTTGACCCCTGCGATTTCCCCAGATGTGGAAAACTCACTGCATCATTTGTGGTAGTGGGGGACTGTGTCTGTGCTATCTCCTGATTTTTGAAGTTTTTCTTAAAAAAAGGAGACTCACCATTGTCTATGGACCGAATTATCTGTGTTCCTCCAAAATCCATATGCTGAAGCCCTAACCCCAATGTGATAGTCTTTGGAGATGGGGTCTTTGGGAGATAATTAGGTTTAGATGAGGTCATGGGGGTGTGATCCCATGATAGGATTAGTACCCTTAGAAGAAGGGGAAGAGGGCCCTGGTGTGGTGTCTCACATCTGTAATCCTAGTATTTTGGGAGGCTGAGGCAGGAAGATTGCTGGAAGCCATGAGTTTGAGACCAGCCTGGGCAACATAGGGAGACCCCATCTCTACCAAAAACAAAAAAAGAAAAGAAAGATACCAGAGTTCTCTCCCTCTCTACTTCATGAGGACACAGTGAGAAGGCGGCAATCTGTAGGCCGGGAAGGGGGCCTCACCAAGAATTCAACCTCAGACTTCCAGCCTCCAGACCTGTGAGAAATAAACGTCTGCTGCTTACACCATGGGTGGCACCTCTGGTACTTCGTTATGGAAGCCTGAGCTAAGATGCCAGCCAACCATATTTGTATAGAGTTTTCATACAAAACCGGAAATCCAGTCAGATTCAGCTCTGGCTGGCTTAGGGATGCGCCATGCCTGACTCACTGCAGGGGGTCAAGAATGTTTGTGAGATGAATAAATGGAGTATCTTTGTTCTGGAAATAGACCACCTATGAATTATTATAGTAGAGAAATCCCAGGCCCCCTCAAAGGACAGGGAAAGCCGCAACGTATCTATGCTTTGGGCCCAGGGGAATAATGGAAAGAGGCCAGGCACGCTGGGAAAGTTCCATTTACAAACCCGCCTTCTGCTGGGCTGTGTCTCCCTGCTGTGCTCGCGGGGATCCTGGCCTGGCCTATTTTTTCCCTGGGCGGATACCTCATTACCAGGAGCGTTCAGATCCCTAAAGATGGCTTCTGTCTCCTCCAAGACCACTGGTGAGTCTTGTCACCTGGTGTCCCCAGGGTGCCGCCCCATCTTCTCTTGTTCTCTGTGGGTTCCAGAAAAAGGGACCACCTTGGCTCTGTGGCTTTGGATCGCTCCAGAGGAGGGGCAAAGGCCTCAGATAGCTCCAATGGGACACAGCCAACATCCAAGCTGCATTTTCAAAATCAGAGCCAATCTTAGGCTGAGTCAGAGAGAAAGGAATTGTGCTCAGGCACCCAGGTGGTACCTGCTATCCCTGACCTTAGGGATGCACCATGGGTCCAACTTTGGGTTTTAACTTCCCATGAGTGCCTGGACATGGAGAGGAAATGGTCGAGAGGATGAGGACATATGGGGAGAGATCCCCACAGTCACTGAGGTCCTTCTCCTGCCTCCCACTCTCTAGGTCCCTCCGGCTGGGCCCAGCAGGTCCCCCTCCCACCTGTGCCAGTCAGCCTCTGCTATGTCCTCACAGGGAATCCTCCAATAGCCCACCAGGTGGGAGAGCCAGGGGCAGGAAGCACTGAAGGCCTGCACGGCACCAGCACAGATGAATGATCTGGCTTTCTCAGAATCCATCACGTGGAACACTGGAGGCCACGGAGGAAGGACTGGGTTCCACAGGAGGAGCTTGGGCAGCAGGAATTCTCCATGATGGAAGAGATGCTGGGGACTTTCCCCATAAATCTTTAGACAGAACTCTCATTCGCAGCATTTATTTACTTGCTCATTCATTCATCATTCATTCACTCATGCACTCCATGAGTATTGCTTTCTCCTACCTTGTGCCAGAGACTGTGCAAGACTTGGAGAATTGGTAACACGCTCCAGGTCTTGCCTTCAGGGGCTTTCACAAGCAGAGCCATTGCTCCGGCTTTGGGGTTTCCACAGCGTGCATTAGCCTTTGAAGCCTCCAGGAATATCCTCCAGAATCAAACCTGTTCTACTGTGTTTCACTGAGAATTCTGCAAATTTCTTTGGTAATGGGACTTGATTCTTCTTTACATGGTACCACGCAGACCTGCGAATGTGCCGTGAAGCACCTTTACAGGCCCATGGAGTGGGGAGGGAATACTGGGTCTCTGTGAGAGCCTGGCCTTAGGATTCGGACAGTGCTGTTACAGTCTCAGCCCTTCTCCTTGCTGGCTGTGGGGTTGGGGCCACGTGAATCGGCTAAGCTTTGGCATTCTCAGAAATCGTTTGGGGATAATGATTCCTGCCGACTGGGAGGATTAAGTAAGATAAAGGATTGGCAAGGTTTTATCCCATGGTCAGGGAGCCTGGTGACTGCCTTGTGCCGTGGGTGATCCCTACCTTCCTTCAAAATGTATGTGCGCGGGCCGCGTACACACACACACGTACATGCAGACACACACGTAATGCAAACACACACGCACATGCACACGTGCACACACGTACATGCACATGCACACAGGTGCACATGCACACAGATGTACATGCACGCACACACGTACACGCACACACACGCACATGCACACGCGCACACACATGTACACACACGCGCGCACACATGCACAGACACGTACATGCACACACACACGTGCACGTGCGTGCACACACATGCACATACACACACACAGGCTTCCTGTAATCCTCACTTGCCTGGGAGGCAGCAGTGACTCTGCCTTCTTGAAGTCGTCTGAACTGTCTGCTTTCCAAACAGGGGCGACAGGACTGTGACTAGGGGTGATGGGTTGCTGAACTGCTCTGCTGCCAGACACATTTTGCCAGCTTCTCATAATGTCAGTGAGATCTGGGAAATGGACCAAGCACGATTTCCAGCTGAATGAAACACTTTAGGGCCATCAGCTAAATAGATAATGCTTTGAGAAAACCCCATGAGTGTTGTGTCAGACAGGCTGGGGGACCCTGCGAACCTGTCTTTCTCTGTGCTCATCTGGGTGAGGAGACATCGCCCGGGCGAGCTCCATGAGCCCCTCTGGCTGTGAGGACCTGTGCCTTCTGTCTCAGTGCATCTGCGGGGAGGCTGAGATTTGATCCTCGTGGCACACCTGATCCTTTCTGCATCTCACTGTCTTCCTGCCCTCCTCTCTCCCTCCTCCTGCCTGACTGTTGACTACAAAGTAGGATATGATTTAGGTAAGTGTCCTTGCCTCCCTCCCTGGCCCCACATCACCAGGAGGAGCGAGCTGTTTCTGTGGGCAGGAGGGGGTCCTGCGTCCTGGGTCCTCCCCAGGCAGCCCCGGCCCTTTCTCTTTGTTCCAGGGGGCCCAGCCACCATGTTGACTGTTTCATCCCTGTGCACCACCTGGAACTGCCACCTGGAGCGAGCTCTCTTCCTTCCTGACAGCAACAGTCCACCTCTGGGCCAGAGGATGCCCACTGGTCTTCATGGAGGGAGCTTGGGTCAGGCCCACTTGGTTTCCAATTCTGGCTTCACCACGTGCCACTCTGCAGTGGTGCTGCCTCATCCTGCTAAGCCTAGTGTCCCCTTCTATGTGGGTGTAATACCTGCCCCAGGTGTAGCTGTGAGGACTCAGGGTAATGCTCATCAGGTGTGCAGCATGCTGTGTGGCACAGAAATGACCAGAAAATATTCCCTCAGTGTGTGCCAAGTCTTTACTTTCCTTAAGATCTCAAACTCTTTTCTTCATCTTCTTCCCTTGATGACAACGCCCTTGTTCCTCGCTGTCCTTGCGGGCCGCCCCTCACACATCTTTCCTTGGGCCACAACTTCCGCCTTTACCTTGCCTTTCCTTCCCTGTTCATCCACCCACCCATGCAGCCGTTCATTCCTTGCTTTATTCATCCAGTGATTTATGGAGTGTTTCCTACATGTGTATGTCAGGCTAGAACGAGCAAAGCAGATCCAGTGTCTGCCAGCCCTAAACTTACAGTGCCAAAGAGGACAGAGACAATGGAGCAGGTGCCTCAGTGTATATGTGTGTGTGTGAGATTGTGTGTGTGAGTGTGTGCATGTGTGTGTATGTGTGTGTGATGGGAGGTAGGTGCTAGCAGGGAGAGTCTTGGGAAATGCATACTAGGGTCACCTTAACGGAGTCCTGTGGGGTCAGGAAAGCTTCATGGAGGAAGTGACTCTTACCTCTTCGAGCAGATATAAGCAACCTGAGGCCAGGGGTTGTGGTTTCTGGGGCCTTAGAATTACCAGCATCATCAACAGTTGAGTGCCTGCCATTTATAAGGCACTGGGTTTGCCAGAGGGATACATAGTAATGCAAAGGGATCGTTAGTAAACACTTGTCCAGCGAACCCCGGGATGCCTGTGCTGTTAACAGGCTTGTGTCTGCTAAGTAGTCTTCCCAGCACATGTGAAATCTCTGACTCCCCACAAATAAGGAGCTTAGAAGAGCTCATTTGCGTTTCCACGTGGTTCATGAATAGGCAAGCGAGATTCCTTTTAATCTCAAATTTTATTTTATTGGATGTGTTTACATGTAATTAGGTCTCAGGTTTTCTTTGGGGCCTATGGGAAATTTAAGGAAGGTCTCATCCCATCTCCACTGCCGCTGTGAGAGGGGAGGCTGGAAGACTCCTGAATAACTTGATCATCCCAGATGACCAGAGAGCTTCTGGGTCTATTATGACCGCAGACCAATCCTAATCCTGATCACCTCCATGAACCCACCTGACATGCAGTTGTATGAAGGATGGAGCACATCAACGTTTGTAGCACCTTTACATAAAGCCAGAGTGCTCAAGGCATCCTGGACCTCACCTGGTGGAAGGGAGGGTGATGTTCTGACAGGTGGAAGCCTTGAGTCTTGCTGGTCTCCTTTCATGGCAGGAGAGGCTGCGGGCTTAGCTGAAAATATAATTGCGGCTGAAGGTCAGGCTGTGCCCAGTGGCCGAAGCGCTTGGCAAGCTTTCACTGGGTGGCCTAGATTTGCACCGCTTGGCAGGCTCTCTTCCCAGTCGGCAGGGGCACCGCAGCTGGATGGCTCAGCGTCCACCAAAGGGAAGCAGGAAAACCAGCAGCTGGCTGCATCCGAGAAGCTTTTCACGTTCCCAATGAGATCCAAGATCAAAACCGTTTTCTA